AAAGCCATCCACTTGTGGTATTTCTGTTAGAGCAGCACTAGATGACTAACACACACACATATATAGAAAGAAAGAAAATATGGCCAACCACTAATAATTGTTGATTCTGGAGTAAATGGGTGTTCATTGTACTAGTTTTTCAACTTATCTCTGACAGTTTTCAAAATCAAAACTTTAAAAAAATGTTCCAATCCTTCATGAGGCTACATGCTAAGAGGGAGAAGGAGACCTCACCAACCATTCTTTGGAAAAGGACATCCAAGTGGGCACTGAACCTCTAGTCAAAACTAAGGAAGATGTACAAGTGAAGAACTCAGAGTACTCAGATGTCATCACGACACATAAAACCTTATAAACAACATACGAGTCTGCAGCCTTCACTCACCATATGTCACCCCCTCAGCTGGCTGCTGCCTTCCACTGTTTAAACTTTCAGGCAGATTTTTCAAAACTGAAATAAGCTACAAAAAAAGAGAGAGCAATATAAGCAGGACGAACAGAACAAAAGCAGACTACATGACAATTCAGTACCATGGGATTACCTACAACCCTAAAAGAGCTGTGTGGCGGGGTAGGGTGGTAAACTGGCTTAAGCTGTGAGGCGGTGTCTGCTTGGTGGGGTTTTAGTACAGCTGCCACTGTCTGGAGAACACAGGTCACTGATTTGCTTCCGGAGGACGCTGAGCTTTGCCTGGCTGTGCAAGTTTCCACATCAGAACAGCCTGTGTTCAGCTATCCACACTCTCGCCCCACAGGAAGGAAGGCAGTGGAGCCTCACAAAGGAGAATGTACTCTGGAGTCACACAGCTCTTGGTTCAAATCCCAGTCCTACCATCTACTAGCCATGTCTTTGTGGAAAAGTTATTTTACTTCTCTGTGGCCTTCAGTGTCATCATCTGTAAAACAATCAACAGCAACGACCACCCCAAAAGTTTGTTTTGAGGGTAAAATAAAAAAGTCCGAGGAGTATCTAGAACAGTCTTGGCACACAGCCAGTGCTCAATAAATGGCAACCACCATTACGATAGCATTTCCAAGGTGAGTGCCTAGAACAGGAAGTACCGTCTCTACAGTTGGGAAAAATGTTTTCTTCTGTATAAAATTAACTAGTTCATATGAAATTCATTAAGCATTTACACACACCCGACTGTATGCAGACTCAGTGAGCTATATAAAGTCACAGAGACCCGAGAGATCATTCATAGCCGGGGGTCAGCAGAATTCCAGCGCGTGTGGATGCAAATGGCTGGAACATTGGCACAGAAGTGGGAGGAAGCTAAGAGTCACCTAGGAAATGGCCGTTGGTTCAGTCTGACAGGGAGGCCAGTACGTGTGTGGGAGTGTTGTGTGCCGTAGAGTTGACTCCAACTCATAGTGACCCTACAGAACAGAGAGGAACTGCCCCATAGGGTTTCCTAGGCTGTAATCTTTACGGGAACAGATCACCAGGTCTTTCTCTCGCAGAACTGCTGGCCACCTTTGCTTAGCAGCCAAGCGCTTAACTATTGCACCACCATGAGTGAGGAGAGTGAAATCAGGAAGCATATTTTAAAGGCTTCCCTATGAAATACAGTGGACTATATAAGGTCACCTGTTTCATTTGAAAGCCTTTCTTAAGCGCCTAAACCAGAAAAAACCAAACCCGTTGCTGTCCAGTGGATTCCAAATCATAGCGACCCTATAAGACAGAGTAGAACTGCCCCGTAGGATTTCCAAGGAGCAGCTGGTGGATTCAAACTGCTGACCTTTTAGTCAGCAGCTGAGCTCTTAACCACTGCGCCACCAGGGCTCCATTTCGTGCCTACTCTGTATAAATTCTCAAAGCCGTACATGAGGTCACAAACGCCAGGCTAATCTTTTAGGAAGCCAGAAATAGAAACCACTCTTTTTTTTTTAAGCTTAAAATTATGCATTGTAAAATTGTTCCTCTTCTATGCATTGTAAAATTGTTCCTCTTACTATAACCACTTAGGAAACCTACTGAATGCATAAAAAGCAGTGGGACGTAGGAAAACCGTACCATGCTGGCACCCAGTCTTGATAACAGTGCTTCCAATTCCTTGGCGGTGCTCTTGGGTGGTACAGGAACAGTTTCCTGTTTTAGAATTGGGCCTACATCAAACCTAGCAAAAAATCAAAAGCAAATAACATGATTACTGACTATTTCTTAAGATCAACATGCTTGTCTACATGAACATTTACATACCACAAGGTTAGCTTCACCCTGGCCATGAATTTGACCGTTAGCCATTAGAAAGCGAGAAATGTCAGTTTGGAAGAAGGGAAAGAAAAAACTGGCCAATACTTAGACTTTAAATTCCTTTTTTCCTAAAGCAAAAAAAGTATACAGTTGCGCATCAGTGATTTAATTGCAAGGATAAAAATTTCTGTTATTAGTAATCCATACTATGAAAAATCTCTATTTGTATATTGACAATAGAGAGCAAAGTATTTACTTTCTGAGAATGTACAGTCAGGAAAGCCATATTAATACTTTCTGTATTTCCTTCCTCAGAGGACAAGCGTTTTTGCTTTGATTGTAATCACCGAGGATGAAGTAGGTGAGGGTGTATTTGCTCTCACGAGTCTTACATTCTACATCAGCTTCTAGAAACACTGGCCGTGGGTTTTCATTAGTGACGTGCTTTATTCTAAATGTCTAACTTTGTGGTTCTGTTCATTCTACTTTTTAACCTCTAAGCTTTAACAAAAAGTTGATTATGAAAAAATGACATTCACAAAAATAGTGTTCAGTATAATGAATCACCACATACACATCACCCAGATTTTAGAATTAACAAACCTTCGCTATTCTTGCTTCATCTACCCCTCCCTTGTTCCTTCTCCCTTAAGGATGTTAAAGCAAATTCCAGAGTATATCCTGTTGTTCCTGTAAATTCATGACTTGCTCTTTTCTATGAGATATTAGTCGATGAAAGCAGGGGCTTAATAACTCCTCAAGCAATTTTAAATCATTGTTTCTGAGATTGTAGGTATGATCTAAAAACTTAAATGTTTAAGATAAATTATATTACACATTGGTACGCAATGTCTTCTTACTTCGGATTTCAAAAAAATTTTGACCAGTTTAGAAACCAAGGCCAGCAGAACCAAGATTCCTGACAAGGAACACAAAAGCCCATCTCACTTATAGAACCTAATTTATTTCAATTAAAAAATAAAAAATTTCACACGAACTTTAAATACTGCATAATACACAAAGACATAAGGTTTGTGTCGGCAATCAGGATAAAACAGAAAGGGGGCAAGAGCAAAGGAAGCACTCTGGACTTACAGAAATTAGGGAGCACCACCCATTACATCCCCCCCAAACAGACTGACAGCAACATTTAAAAATCACAGAATTCTCAAGAAAACAAAGTGTGCTGTACCTTTTAGGTCTAATTTGCATAATTGTCACTCCGGTAACTTTGTCTCCATGGAGAACTGTATGGATTATAGGGGCTGGACCACGCCACCTCGGGAGGCAACTGGGATGGACATTCAATATGCCACTGAGTTAGAAAAGCAGAAAATCGTTGACATTGGGCCTCGCCATTTAGTTACTCCTACATAAAATACTATGCTACTTTTCATCATTAAACTTTTCCAGGAATTTTGAAAAACTGACAGTTAGATTTAGTCATGCCTGCCCCAAAAGGAAGGTGTCAGAAGTAAGTTCACTCTCTGCGATCAGAAAACAATGAAATGTAATTAAAAACAGAGCAAGAACACTACTCACTGTTCTAAAGATGTTCTACAATTCCTGATGTCTGGGAGTTGTTTAATAAAAACAAAAAAATGTGTTTGTTAGTGTATGAGAAGAACCACTCAAACCTTATTATGCATCTCATGGACCATGTGAACTGCATTTATAATTCCGTCTCATAATTACCCTCGCTTCACATAGTCTGCATATAGAATGCCTCAAACAAGCTTCTTGAATCCCCGTCAAATGATCTACTTATCCCAACACACCTATCATCCACTGATGAGCAGCGTAAATACTTTACAAACCTGTCATTAGTTTACTGCTGTCTCCTCCAGCATGTGTGGCCCTTGAGCTCGTGTGTGTGTGTGTGTGTGTGTGTGTGTGTGTGTGTGTGTGTGTGTGTGTGTGAGAGAGAGAGAGAGAGAGAGAGAGAATGGGAAAGGCTGACATTACTAAGTTCCACTGTTCAGTCTTGTTCCATTCATCCAACAAATATCCACTGAGCACAACTGATGTGCAGGCTCTAAGTGCTGCTGGGGATATATGTGGCAAGGAATCAAACAGAAGAAAAAGTTCTGCCCTCAGGGAGCTTATGGGCAGAGTGGGAGACAAGTAGTAAGACACAAAATCTGTGAAAAGTTGGTTAGATGATGCTAAGCGCTACGGAGAAAAATAAAGCAGAGAAGGGGATAGAGGAATATGGGTGGGAGACTGCAATTTCACCTCTGAGGTGACACCGGAGCAAAGACTTACAGAAGGGAAGGGACTAAGCCATGCAGACACAGGGAGAAAAGCTTCCTAGCAAGTACAAAGGTCTTGAGGAAAGGAAATGCTTGGCAAATTCACAGCCCAGCAGGGAGGTCAGTGTGGCTGGTGTGGAGTGAACCTGGGAACAGTAATGGGAGGTGAGGCCAGAGAGCCGCAGGGGACCAACCACATAGGGTCTTGTAGGCCAACATAATGACTGACTTTTACTCTGAGATGGAATACACCAGATTTTGAGTAGAATGACATGATCTGAAATTATGCTTTTAAAAGGATCACTTTGGCTGCTGGGTTGATTCAAGACCCCAGACGGCCAAGTGTAATACGGACCAATTAGGAGGCTACAGGGATAGTGCAGGCGAGGGCAGCAGCGCGAATGATGAGATACACTCAGACTCCACGCAGATTTTGGAGGCAGAGACAACAGGATGTCCTGATGAACTGGGTATGGGGTGTGAGATAAGGAATCAAGGATGCCTCCAAGATTTGGGGCCTAGGCAAGTAGAAGGATGAAGTTACCGTTTTCTGAGATGAAGATGTGAGGAGGAGCAGGTCTGGGGCAAAGCTCAGGGATGGGGTTTTAAATGGGAGATGTCTATCAGGCATCCAGGCAGAGGTGTGGAGGCAGTTGGGTATTAGGTGTCCAGGGTCTGGACAGCAGTCTGGGCAAGAGGACAGATTTGGGAGTTGCCAGCATATGGATATGGAATTTAAATGAGGTTGGATAAGAGCCCATTGAGAATGATAAGGAGCTTAAGTTAATACATTTTGACAATAATTCGTGCCCCTATAAAGCCTTTTAAGAGAAACTACTAAAGAAAGTAGAGTTAGAGTTCAAGTTTTCATACTTGAGATACCAAGTCCATTTATAAAGACCAAGGTTTCTATACTGTATTTCCTTATAACTAAGACTTACTAGGGAAATTTCAGGATAAGGGCCTCACTCAGAAGTCGGCCGAACGAAGCCACTACGCCAACATCATAGTCCCCGGGTCCCACATCTGGCCACTCATAGACTGGCAGCTGGGACCGCACGGCGTAACGCTTCACAGGCAGTCCTCTGGGTGACGGGGAGGGCACTGTGACCACCTCCAATTTCTCTATTAACTCTTCCTCTTTGTTGTCCCTAAAGTGGAAAGATTGGAAGGAAACGTGACAGTTACCATTACAATGACTCAAAGATAAACGATTTCACACACCTCTAAGGTATATTTATGATTAAACTCATCAAGTACTTAGCACCAAATCATTAAAACTTGTGCCTCTGAGGAAATGAATTTTTATTTCATTATTTTAAATTTAGACCACAGGTGGCTAGGGGCTACCGTTTTGGACAGCATCATTTTAGAGATTTCCTGTTCATATAGAAACATATATAGTACAGACGTTTTACACAACTGGGATCATTACACATACTGTTTTGCATTGTCTTTTTTCCCCCTTAACAATGCTATCTATATGTAATGGGCTATCATGTGAGTTTTTAAGAAAATGGGTTATATGTACGTATGTTTGTATATGCACATAATGCTTCTAGAAGAATAAGAAATTGAAAACAGGGGCTGTCTCTGGAGAGGAGCTGGGAACTGGGAGACAGGTGGAAAGAAGCAACTTTTCATTAAAACCTTCTGAAGCTTTTGAATTTTGTCCCATAACCATGTATTATTCAAACAATACTTTTTTCAAAAATAAATATATACACCATGGGCATCATTCCACAGCAATCCATGTAGCACCGCCTCCTCCTTTTTACCCGCTGTATAGTATTCCATTGCCCGGGGGCTGGACCTTTATCTATTAAATAGGTGCTGCACGCACACGTTGAGGAGTCACGAGAAAAGCAGTAGGTGAGAGCACTGAGGGGCAAGGGTGGGCGCAGTGGAGCTGCCAAGTGCAGCAGCCTCAGAAGGGTCAGGGTCCGCACAGTGAGATGCACTTAGCCGTATGGGGAAACAGCAGCATGTGGTACAGGTGTTATGGGGTGCGTAAAAGGAACATGGTGTCAAGGGGTTGTTTCTGGGTACGGACGGGAGTGTGTAGAGGGAGAAAGACGATACCAAGGGATTGATGAGAGATTCAATATACTGGGGGGGGGGTAGGGGGCTGCTGTGAAGTATCTGTAGGGAAAACTTGATGAATAATGACAAATGAGTATGGGGGGGAGTGTGTGTCAGGAAAAGAGTAGGGAAATAAATTAAGGAAAAATGTTGACGGAAAAGAGGCAGAGCAGTACATATGGGACTAGCCACCACATACCATGGACTTTTAGGACAGGTTCGATTTAAAATATATATATATTTTCCAGGATACGAGATTTGTTAAAATTGTATAAATACTAAATGTATACTTAAGAGTTCTGATTTACAAATTTATTCATTTGAACAAAGGCTCATTTTGGACTCCGTCCTCATTTCAGCTCCAGAAAATTGGGTCCCGTTGTATACAGGGAGAACACAGGGTGCTAAAGGCTGTGCAGAGGGATGCACGTGCCTGTTAATTAAGAACTCGCGTCGGAGAGTACAAATTAGATGAGTGGAAGGCAGGAGGAGGAAGTGGAAAGGGGGAAGGACTTTGAAGTCAGAGCTGGTTTGAGTCCTAAGCTGCTCAACTGATGACCCTGGGCAAGTCGCTTATCCTCTCTGAACCTCAGTTTCCTCGCATTCAAAATGGGCAGGGGACGTGGTGGGGCAGGACAAAGGTAGCATATGCAAAGCACCTAGCAAGGGCTTGGCACGGGGGGCGCTCCGTAAGCGCTTGGAAAACGGCTAGGTTGGGCCTGGAGTGCGGGGCAAGGGTGCAGATCGGACGGGATCGGGCGCCCTGGGGTTGCGAGGGCGGGTGCGGCGCACCTTCCGGGCGCCGGGAAGACGCCGAGATCTGGGCCCGAACCGTTCCAGCGCAGCTGCTTTTCAGTCCAAAACCCTCGTGGGCCGGCCGCAGAGGCTCAGCGTCGGCGCCCCCAGCGGCCCGGGCCCCCCGACCCCTGGCCCCGGTACCTGGCGGCGTGCAGCGCTCGCAGCGCCTCGCGGGCGAACCGGTCTGTGCCGAAGAAGAGCACCCGCCACGGGGGCTTCTCCCGGGCTCGGGCGCCGAGGCCCTCCTCCCCGCCGGAAGACACGCCGAGCCCGGCCAGCGCTCGCCATTGTGGAGTCGACCTCACGCCGGTGGCGCAGCGGACCGGCCCTGGGCCCCAGCAGCGTCGCAACTGCACCCTCATCGCCCCGGCGCAGGCGGCCTATACGGCAAAGCGCGCCGGGGTGAGGTGGAGTCCATTGGCTGGAGGTGGGAGCGGGGCTTGGACCGGGAAGTAAACCCGGTAGGCGGGGTCTGAGGTCGACTAGGGGCGAGGCCTGCGCATTGGAGGCGTGGCCCGTCTGCGTGGTTGCTGGTGAACGATTTGCCGGTTCACGCGCCCCGGTGATTTTTGTTGCATTTGTTTGCACTATTTAACCAAGCCTTTTAAAGAACTTTTTAGGGGACAAATCATATGTTTTCAGATAATGAAACCTCATTTATTTACGGAATGCCGTGACGTTTGTCTCATCCATTATGATAACTAATAGTTACTGAGGATTTATGCTGCACATTTGACTAAGCATTTTATATCCATTATTTCAGTTAATCCTCATATCAACCATACGAGATAGATACTATTACAACCATTTTACTGAAGAGAACCCGAGGCTCAGTGAAGTTATGGGACTTACAAGTAGCTAAGGTTGGGTGGGAGTCTTGTCCGTGGAGCTCCAAAACCGGTGCCTCTACTATGGAGTACGCAAGTCAGTGTCCCCATTTTGCACTTGAGGAAACTGAGGCTCAGTGACTTGCCCATAGAGCTGCTGAAACAGAAATGCCACAGTGGGTGGCTTTAACAAACAAATTTCTCACACTTCAGGAGGCTAGAAGTCTGAATTCAGGGCGCCAACTCTAGGGGGAAGGTTTTCTCTGTCGGCTCCGGAGGCAGGTCCTTGTCTCTTTGAGCTTCTGCTCCTGGGCAGTCTTCATGTGGCTTGGCATCTCTCCCCATCTCTGCTTCTCGATTTCTTGTTTAATCTGTTTTATATCTCAAAGAGATTGACTTAAAACACACCCACACAAATCCTGTCTCATTAACATAACAAAGACAACCCATTCCCCCAAATGGGATTATAACCAGAGGCATAGAAGTTAAGATTTACAACACATATTTTTGGGGGACACAATTCAATTCCTAACAGTCACCCTTGTGAATTGAATGCTGTACTCTTACAGGTTCCTTCTCACACAAGGGGTTTGAAATTTGGATACCTTATAGGAGATTCCCAGGGAAAACGGGCGGGAATGTTGTCCCTAGAAGACCCCTGAGGACCTTTAGCGCTAAGATTCTGCGTTCCCAATGCCCGTGCAGTGGCCTTCTCCTTGAGGGTGGACACATACTCCTGAAGCTGGCCCAGGCTGTAGAGGGGAGACCTGATTCCTTTCCAGCCTTACTCTCACCACCTTTTCTCCATCACACGAAGTCTTTGTCCCAGTGACCCTAGACCAGTCCTTTTTCCTAAACTGTGCGCTCTGCACATCCCCACCTCTGTGCCTTTGTTCACGTTATCCTTCCTAGATAGCCCTCCCCACATCTCGCCCTCCCTAAGTGGTATCCATTCGTCAGTGTCAAGCTCAGATATCCTCCCTGAAGCCTTGTGCTTTCGCCTCCACGGGTTGAATGTCTTTTCCATGCGCCCTCTTAATGCTCTGCGGGGACCTCGGCTTCCCACATGGTTTGGTATTATCGAGGGGCGTTGTCTAATGTGTGTATCGACATAGGCGAATTTACCTGTGTGCTGAACAGAGAAGAGAGAGGCCAAGAGACTGTATTTCCCGTGACTCCGCTCATCTGAGCATATATGAGAGGGAGAGGGAGATGAGACTCCCGAACTTTCTATTCTCTCAGTCAAGTGCTCTTCCAGTATTCTCTTTTAGGGTAGGCAGAGTGTGATTGTAACATTTAAAGAGCAGTCTTTCTCCATACAACACAACCTATAAATACAACTCAAATAGTCATCTGGGTAATTTTGACGGATTTTCACCTTACAACCTGGCCGCCGTCTAAGATGTGACCCTTTGTACTTGCGTTCCTGTCGTTTCTCCCCTAGCTGGTTGTAAGCTCCGGGAGCCTGCCTTATGCTACGTTTAATTTTCAGCAGTTTCAATTTCACCGTAGGTAGCGCTGCCCACTAGAGCTGCCTGGAACTGCTCACAGCGCCCTCTGCCGACCACACAGGAACTACTCAGTCCGAGGGGCCTGGCCAATCGTGTCTTCCTTCCTTCACAGAGCTGCCTCCTGCCATAAACGTCTAATTTTCTGGTGGATGGTCTTTTGATTTGCAGTAAACTCCCGCCCCCCTAAAAAAGAACATAAGATTATTGTAATGGCTGAAGTTTTCCCAGAATGCTGAAATGAAAGTATTTCTGAACCTCTTGATGGTGAGTGTGGGGTGTCTGGGGGTCCACTTCCAAGCCCAGGCAAACTCACTTCTGGAACTATTATAAAGCACCCAGCAAAGATGAGGTCGCCAGCCCTGAAGGGCAAGGATTTTTAGGTAATAAATCAAGATGTCCACTGATGCTCCAGTTTCCAGAAACTTCTCTTCCCTGATCAATGGAGCATGTCTCCATGTTGAATCAATAACATTATTTCAGGTTTTGGGTCTGGGTGACAAGACAATGGCAGTGTCATTAACAAAGAGAAAGAACCTGTTTAGTGGCAAATATGGCAATGCTGCAGCTTTGAACTCTTTGATACTGACCGATGAGAGGGGAGCAAGTGGAGATGTTTGGTAGAACACTGGGATATGGGATTGGCCTCCATGGCTGGGGGACTGGGAGGAGAGATGATCCCAGAGTGGGAGGAAGCAGCAAGCATCTCCTCCTCTCCCTGTTTCCATCATCCCACCCTAAACCTAACTCTGAACTCGGCCGGGTGAGGAGGTCGGCCACAGATGAAGTGTGTGCATGAGTGTGTTTTCTACCTTGGTTAGAGAGGTGACAGAATGTTGCCTTGATATCTTGAGGAAGACAAATCACTTTTGGGTGAGACCAGAGGTATCTTCCCCTACTGTCCACAGGAGGATCCACAGAAAGCCCTCAGAATGTTCTCCGTAGGAGGATAGGTAGATAGCTCTACTCTGTGTGTGTTGTGTAATCAACGCTTTTTGCATTGAGGGTCAAAAAAGGAGAGCAGTCAGATCCCTGGGAGAGATGGAGCAGAGATATGAGGGAAAAATGGCCGGAACTCTGATCTGCAAGGTGGCAGATGCCCGAGTCCATCAGAACTTCTGCTTGTGGCGTGAGAAACTATGCCACACGTGTGACCAGGAGAAGGTCGGCCCCACACAAGCGCCGTGCATGCCTCTGATTGCAGTCGACATCCACTAGGTGGCGGTGTCCACCAACCTTTCTGGTCATTGAGTGTGAGGGCTGCTTCTCTTGCTGCAGTGCTTCCAACTCTGACTAGGCTGTGTTGTTATCGTCCCCTGCGGTCTTGGTAGAAGTTGTCATTCCCTAATCCATCCAGCCACTCAGTAAATCAAGGCTGGGGCTGCAAGGCCACATGCTGGGGACAGACTAGGACGTGCTGGGGCCCCAAGCTCTTACGGACAATACACAAATGGTAAAATGGCTGTTCTGTGCAACAGACTCCCTGCAACCAAAAGCCTGGGGTGTCTTTCCACTTAAGGGGAGGGCTTGAAGAGGCAGTGTGGGCCCACAGGACTGAATGTCCCAGAGGAGAGCAACTGGAGAGGTACATGACACCTGAGGGACATCAGGAGCCTCAGGGCGGGATGCCAGCCGTGGTACCACAGGTAGGACAAGCAGCCAAAGGATATGGAAGCTTCCCTGTGCTGCTGCTGGTAAACCTAGTCAGCCTGGTAAAGCAGGTGATATCTCAAGTAGACTTAACCAAAACCAAACCAGCTGCTGTCGAGTCCATTCCGTTCTGACTAATGACGACCCCATGTGTAAAAACCAACCAAACTTATTGCCATCCAGTTGATTCGGACTCACAGCAACCTTATAAGACAGGTAGAACTGCCCCATAGGGTTTCCAAGGCTGTAATATTTATGCAAGCAGATTGCCACATCTTTCTCCCGAGGAGCAGTTGGTGTGTTGGGACTGCTGACCTTCTTTCCAGTTAGCAGCCCAGCACTCTAGCCATTATGCCACCAAGGCTCATTACCAAAAAAAGAAATCCCACTTCCCTTAATCACCCAACCCCCAACCCTCCTTAGCCCTAGGCAACCACTAATGTAGTTTTTGTCTCTATAGATTTGCCTTTCTGAACATTCATACAATCTGTGATCTTTTATAATTGGCTTTTTTCAGTCAGCATAATGTTTTCAAGAAATGTTATAGCATGCATCCATACTTCATTCCTTTGTATTGATGAATAATATTTCATTGTATGGATATACCACATTTTGTTTATCCATTCATATGTTGATGGACATTTGGGTTATTTCTCCATTTTGGCTATTACGAATAGCTAAGAACATTCGTGTACGAGCTTTGTGTGGACATATGCTTTCAACTCTCTTGTGTACGTGCCTACAGGTAGAATGGCTGGGTCATGGTAACTTTATGTTTAAAATGTTGAGGAATTGCCAAACTATTTTTCAAAGTGACTGCACCATTTAACATTCCCATCAGCCATGTATGAGCGTGTACCAGGTGCTGTTAACTATTGATACTGCAGGGAATGAACTCATGAGTTCAGGCCTCTTAGTGGGAGCTGCCTTTGCCACTACACGTGGACACCTGGCAGAGAGAACCAACCAAAACCAAACCCACTGCCGTCCAGTTGATTCTAACTCATAGTGACCCTATAGGGCAGAGCAGAGCTGCCCATAGGGTTTCCAAGCCTGTAAGTCTTTTTTTTTTTTTTTAATATTTGTTTATATTGTTGTGCGTTAAGTGAAAGTTTACAATTCAAGTTAGTCCCTCATACAAAAAAATTATACATACATTGTTATGTGACCCTTGTTGCTCTCCCTATAATGTGACAGCACACTCCTCCTTTCCACCCCGGATCTCCTGTGTCCGTTCAACCAGCTCCCGACCCTCTCTACCTGCTCATCTCACCTCCGGACAGGAGCTGCCCATTTAGTCTCATGTTATCTACTTGAGCTAACAAGCACACTCCTCACAGTATCATTTTATGCCCCACAGTCCAGTCTAATCTTTGTCTGAAGAGTTTGCTTCAGGAATGGTTTTAGTTCTGGGCTAACAAAGAGTCTGGGCGCCATGTCTTGTGGGGTCCCTCCAGTC